GCTGGATGGAGCAGAGACCCCAAGACTTATGACTCAGTGCCCTGCCCTCAAAAAGGGGAATCTCCCAGGGAACATAGCCCGTGTGCAGCCAGGCACCAGCCTCAAGGGGGCAGCACCCACTGAAGCCCAGCTCATCAGCCCGGCCTCAGTGGGGTGGAGGATGGAGGGTAAAGGGGTGAGGGGAGCCTCTGGTTTCTCTCTCAGATATATGCCCCCCTGGGGCTTTGAAGATCCCCCAAAAGCACACATGTACAGGATGGGGAATTCAAACTCTTCAGCTGCTTACGGGAGAAGAAGCCAAGTGTGCTGACTGAGCTGACATGGTCACTCGAGCAAATCACAGAAGCACAGTGACCCGAGGCTGCAACGTCAGAGACTGCCGCTGCCGTATCACCTCCCACTGCGGGGAGGACATCAACAATTTAAAAAGGAACACCACAGATGAGACCAGCTTCTGGGGGAGGTGCACAGACCGGTGAGGAACCCACCAACCGGCCATCAACAGCCTGGGAACCGAAACCCAAGCAGATGCAGATCCTCTGGGAATTCCGGAGAATTCAGAAAGCAGGCTAGCAGACTTGTCAGGGGTGACCCCAGAGGGCGAGGCCCAGTGAGGCCAGAGCTGTTCACATAAGAAAGAACTTCCTACTCAAACAGACATTTCTGCAAAAAAAGATAAACAAATGGCCGATACGCGCATGAAAAGATGCTCAACATCACTATTCCTTATGAAAATGCAAATCAAAACTACAATACCACTTCACACACATTAGAATGGCCACTGTCCAACAAACACAGCAAGTAAGAAGTGCCAGCCAGGATGTGAAGGAACTGGAACCCTGTGCATTGCTGATAGGAATGTAAAATAGTGCAGCCACTTGGAAAACAGTATGGCAGTTCCTCAAAAACTTAAAAATGAATTATCACGCCCTGGCCAGTGTGGCTCCGTTGGTTGGGTGGCGTCCCGTGCACCAAAAGGTTGCCAGTTCAATTCCCGGTCGGGGCTCGATCCCCAGTAGGGGGTATGCAGGAGGCAGCCAATTGATGTTTCTCTCTCACACAGCTCTCACATCAAAGTTTATCTCTCCCTCTCCCTCTCCTTGATTCTCACTCTAAAAACCAATTTAAAATGCAAATAAAAAGGAATTGCCAAGTGAATCCCACTTCCAGGTTTATACCCAAAAGAACTAAAAGGAGGGACCTGAACAGACCTCCTGACTCCCATGTTCATAGCAGCATTGTGCACAATAGTCAAAAGGTGGAGGCAACCGAGATGTCCATCCAGAGAGGAATGGGTAGACGAAATGTGACATACACACAGTGAGGTATCATCCAGCCTTAAAAGGGGAGGAAATGCTGACATTTGACAACATGGATGAATCTTGAGGGCCCTCTGCTAAGTGAAATACACCAGACACACAAAAGGCAAATACTGCATGTGATTCTACTTACATGAGGTACCTACAATATCAAACTCCGAGACAGAAAGTAACATGATGGCCGTTAGGGGCTGAGGGAGGGGGAACGGCGAGTTAGTGTTTATGGGCACAGAGTTTCAGTTCTGCAAGATGAAACAAGTTCTGAAGATGGATGGTGGCGATGGTTGCACAACAACGTGAAAGTCCTTAATGCCACTGAACTATAGATCCTTAAAAATGGTTAAAATAGTAAAGTTTAAGTTATGCATATTTTGTAGCACAATTCAAAAATATTTTTTAAAGAAAGGACTGACAAAAACGGGATTCCTTAGAGCCGTTTGTGGAGATCTACGTACAGCGGCTGGAATAAAAGGTAAGCGGGTATCCGTCTAGATCCGGGACATTTCCTCTGCACAATGTTGCAATTAACGTTCTTGCCTCACAAAGGCTCCCCGGGCCACATTAATATTCGGTGTTCACGGAGTGCGCTGTGGTTCAAAGAGTGTACAAATCAAAGACAACTAGGAGCGGGTCAACACAGTCCGGCCCGAAGGGCATTGTCGTTCATTGAAATGCTTTTCCTACGGAAGACAGAGCAGTTAGGCCTCCCTTCGTACCCAGGTCCGAGGGGGAAATAAGCTGAAGAAAAGGGTCCAGTGGAAAGCTGCCTCCGCTCTTGACAGCCAGGAAGCGCCGACAAAGATCTGAGCCGGCCCTTGACATCATCTGCGGCCAATAAGGAAGACACCCTCAGCCTAAGCCCGCTCCTCTGGCTCCCCAGGACAAGGACAAGGACACCCAAACTGCAAAACCAGGTTAGAGGAAACACCATCACATCACAGCCTCCACATAAAGTCCTCTCCCTAGGGCCTGGGGCCAGGGGAGGAGAAAGGGGTAGGGGTAGGGGTAGGGACAGGCCTGGGCAATGGATGTCACATCTGTCTTCCCCATTTTATCCAGACACACTTGATTAATGAGTCTTTTACTCTTTCAAATTGCTTAGTGTTTAAGAACGACTGTTTTGGTTCATGACACTGCACAGGCTAAAGAGATCTGACACTGAAACAAGCCTGGAAGTCCTTCTACACGAACACTGGGGACCGCATGACGAGGGGTGGTAAGCTCGCCATCTCTGAAAGCATTCAAGCAGAGGCGGGGTGGCCACTCTCTGGGCTGTAGTCAGAGAGATTCCTGCACTGGGTCTAGGTCTGCTAAATCCTTATCTTTCACAGGAAAGAGTCAAAAGAGAATGTCTCAAATTGTCTTCTCGGAAAAGCAAACAAACAGCCATATTAGGTTGTTGTTTGGCGCTGAGGAGGGTGCCAACAGAAGAAATCGAAACAGAAAGCCAAGCGGCATCCTCCAGAGAGCAGGACTGGACATGGGGAGGGGTGGGGTAAGGGACATGGGCTGTTATAAGACCTTCTTTGCTTCTTTGCCTTGGGCATGTATTAATTGAATGAAAATTTTAGAAGTTAAAAAATATTCCCGTGGTGGCCCGGCTCGGAGGATCCATTGATTTGGAGTGTCGTCCTGAACACCAAAAGGTCGTGAGTTTGATTCCTGGTCAGGGCACATACCCAGGCTTTGGTTTGATCCCCAGTAGAAGAGGCAACTGGTTGATGTTTCTCTCTCACATCAATGTCTCTCTCTTTCTCTCTCTCAAATCAATAAAAACATTTTTTTTAATTTCCCATGGGTTCGGTGACGCTGGGATGGACTCAGTGAGGCTGAGACGGTCCCGGTGAGGTTGAATCGGCCCCAGTGAGGTTGAGATGGCAGCGGTGAGGTCGGGACGGCCCCAGTGATGTCTAAATGGTCCCAGTGTGATGGGAACAGCCCTGGTGAGGTTGAATCGGCCCCAGTGAGGTTGAGATGGCAGCGGTGAGGTCGAGACGGCCCCAGTGATGTCGAAATGGTCCCAGTGTGGTTGAAACAGCCCTGGTGAGGTTGAATTGGCCCCAGTGAGATTGAAACGGCCCATGTGAGGTTGAGACGGCCCCTGTGAGGTTTAGACGGCCCATGTGAGGCTGAAACGGCCCCGGTGAGGCTGAAACAGCTGCACTGAGGCTGAAGCGGCCCCTGTGAGGCTGAGACGGCCCCGGTGAGGTTGAGACGGCTCCGGTGAGGTCGAAACGGCTGCGGTGAGGCTGAAACGGCCCCGGTGGGGTTGAAACGGCCCCCATGAGGCTGAGACGGCCTCGGTGGGGTTGAAACGGCCCCTGTGAGGCTGAGGCAGCCCCTGTGAGGCTGAAACGGCCCCCATGAGGCTGGGACAGCCCCTGTGAGGCAGAGACGGCCCCTGTGAGGCTGAGATGGCCCCTGTGAGACTGAGACGGCCCCTGGGAAGCTGAGAAAAATACCACATGAACTCATTCATTTATGAATAATAAGAAACATTATAGACTGATGAACAAAAATGGATACAGAGGCAGAGCAGCATTGAGCAGAATGTCAAACTACAGTGGGAAACCTGGGGAGGGTTGGGGGGAGAAGGAGATCAACTGAAGGACTTATATGCATGCATATGAGAATAACTAATGGACACAAGACACTGGGGGGTGGGGGAAGCCGGGGGAATGTCAAGGAGGAGAAAAAAGGAGACGTGTAATACTCTTTGTAATACTTTAAGAAATAAAAAAAAAATTCCCATGGGTTAAAAAAAAAATTAATCATGCAATTACTAAATAATACATTTCCAAAAATAACATGGAAATGCTCACAATATTTTATATACTATACACACACACACACACACACACATATATAGAAAATACACACACAGGAAAGAAGTATACTAAAATGTTCTAACTGGTTTTCTCTAGCTGAGAAGATATACCATTGATAATTATTCTTTGTATTTTTCTGGAATTTTTCATGTTCTATAACACACTTATTTCAATCATTCCTCAGAGGCAATTATTACTACCTTTAACATCTTTTTTTGTTTTTATTTACTTATTTTTAAATATTGTTATTGACTTTTAGAGAGAGAGGAAGGGAGAGGGAGAGAGAGAAGCATCGATGTGAGAGCGGAACATCAACTGTCTGCGTCCTGCACGCCCCCTACAAAACCTGGGCATGTGCCCTGACCTATAATTGAACCAGCCACCTTCTGGTGAATGGGATGACACCCAGCCAACTGAGCCACCCTGGCCAGGGCCTTTAACATCTTTTTTTTTTTTAAATAAGAAGCATTAGTAACCGTGGTAAGTTAAATATAGCTACAAATTCTTTGCGGCTGCTGCCATCAAGTTGTGAAATGATTTCCCCTCTTTGAGTCCGGGCTGGCCTCCTGGAAGGGGCCAGGCTTCAGGGAAGAACCCAGGGCCCCAGCCACCTGCTGGCACCAACCGTCAGGCACGTGAGTGAGGCCCCCTAGGGTCCTGCAGGCCTGACGCAACCTCATGTACTGTCTCAGGCAAGACCAACACGAGTGCTGCCTCGCTGACTCAATTCCAAAATCCTGAGCAGATAAATGGTTTGTTTTACCCCGAGTTTGGGGGTGACTTGTTATATAGCAACAGGTAACTGATACAGCAGCAACGTTGAAACATCCCTTCCGTGCCCACCAGCACCTACCTGTCCAGGGGGTGCCCAGGACCTCCTGGCTCCACTCGCTCCACAGGCCGTGCCCAAATTCCTCCCGGGCGCGCAGCTGCACCACGTGCCTCATGCCACTCCAGGCATCACGGATGGTGCAGCGATACTGGAGCTGCTTGACCTGAGGGCAGAGGCACGTTACTCTCCACAAGGACAGGATGCCCTTGGCTGCCCTGCGCTTCAGCCCTCCTTCTCTCAGGTCTAGGGGGTGACTCGGCTGGGCATAGCTTCTCCAAGGGCTGCCATCATCCCAGCAGCTCAGAAACACGGGTGCCCTCTGGGCCAACACAGACAGAAGCTGGAAGTCACTGTCCCACCTGCATGCACTGTGGAATCCTGCCAGCCACGTCCCGACATGCTCACAGCCCCACTCGCTTCCCAGGTCACTCCCGCGCTCACCAATAGGCCTACACAGGGAGGTTTTCATTTCCCTTTTATAGGCGATGCCGCCATTTCAGAAAGGCTCAGAGACTCCTCCAGAGCCACGCACATGGTGAGTGCGGAACAGGACCCAGAACCCACTGCTTTCTTCTAGCCGCCTTTCTGCTGCCCCTGAGTAGCCAGGGGCACTTTTCTATCCAGAAGTAAGAGAAGTTACCATCAGTGTGGTGAATGTCTTAGACCGTTCCGCCCGGTATCGCAGCTCGAACTGCAGCCTGTAGAAATATGAGTTCCAGGAGGGCGGGTCTCGCCAGGTGACAGTGAGCCAGCGGGGGTTTCGGTCCACGGCGGTGACCGTGATGTTGACAGGTGGGTCAGGTCGCACTGTGGGAAAAGGATGCTCTTTGTAGTGGCAAGCGTGGTGCTGAGGAAAGACCCCCCAAGGCTGTGCAAACCCCCACAGCAGGACGCCACCCCGGCCCGAGCACTCCCCACCGCCCGCTCCCCTGGTCAGCCACAGCCTGACCTGTTGTCAAGTGAAGCCCCAAAGGCCCCAGCTCACCAAACCCCCGCCCATCCCCTCCCTGCCCCTCGGAGAAGCCCAAGAGGGAAACAGCTGGAAGGGGCCGAGGAGGCCTGGGAGAGCTTACGTACAGATTCCGTAACCCTCAAATGTGTAGGGTCTGCTGGACTTGCCGCCAGCACTGTTGGCAACGCACAGGGACACAACGTAGAAAGAGTTGTCTCCCTCAGGGACGGCCAGCTGGCAGGAGAACTTCTGGGACTCCGGGGAATACTGGCACGGCTCCTGGGAGTCTTCCGGCGGACCATGCTGGCTGCCAACACAAAACAAGAGCCGCCCACTCTCAGATTCCCCGAGGACTCGGGACTGGGGGGACGGGCCATGGCGAGGGGGGCCGGGCTCTGCAGGCGGACCCTGGCGCTGAGTCCCAGCTCCACATGTGGTAGTTCTTGCTACTTTGAGTAAGTTATCTCCTCTCTGAGCCTTTGTTTGCTCATCTGAAAACGGGAAGATTCGTAGTACCTGCCTGGTGGTTAATTGAGAAATGAGTGTAGCCCTGGCCAGTTTGGCTCAGTGGATAGAGCGCCAGTTTTGCTCAGTGGATAGCGCGTCGGCCTGCGGACTGAAGGGTCCCAGGTTCGATCCTGGTCAAGGGCACGTGCCCGGGTTGTGGGCTCGATCCCCAGTGGGGGGTGTGCAGGAGGCAGACGATCATGATTCTCTCTCATCGTGGATGTTTCTCTCTCTCGCCCCCTCTCCCTTCCTCCCTGAAATCAATAAAAATATTTTTTTACAAAAATGAATGTAAAACATCTAGCTGGGGCCCATGGGTCAAAGGTGCTGAAGGGGGGTGCACTCTGCCAGGTCCTGTGCTCCTGGAAAGGCGGGGGAGGGGCGGGGGGCAGCCAGGAGAAAGGCCATCCAGAAGCACACGGAGCCGGGGGCTCGAAGGAGGTGGGAGCATTTCTGGCAGGTGAGCCCAGAAAGGAAGGCCGGGTGACTGAGGATATTGGAGGTGAGTCAGACACCGGCCCACCTGGCCTGGGAACCTGAGACGTCACCCACTTCTGACATGCGTGGGCATGTGAGGCCACGGCAGCCACTCGCCCGCCGCGGGGGTGACGAATCACCCACCAACCTCCTGTTACGCGTTTGAACCCCAGGCCCAGAACCAACTTCTGGGAAGCCTGCCCCAACCTCCCCAGACTGAGTTAGAGCTTCCCTGACTCCCTTCTTCCCTCCCTCCATCCCACCCAGGCTTCCCTCCCACCCAGCCCGGCCCACAGCTGATGCTGAACTCACCGAAAGGAACCCCGGTGGAACGAATGGGTGAGCAAGCACAGCTGGGGAGGGCGTGGATGTGTGCACAAAGCAGGATACACAGCCTCCCCCCAGGGGCCTGTTTCACCCCCAGCAGCCCAGGGTCTGAGTCGGGCCTGAGTGGGTTCTGTGGTCCCCCAGGCTCTCAGTTGCTCCCTACCCCACTTCCTCACTTCAAGGCAGAGGCACCCGGACCAGCAGGAGGACAGAAGTGCCTGAGGCTTACTGCCAGGGCCTTTAACATCGTGAGCTAAAACCTCCCTCTCTCGCGCACGCGCGCTCTCTCTCTCTCTCTCTCTCTCAAAATGCCAGTAACGAACACACAAAGTATTCTAATAAACTTGCTAGGGCTGGTCCAGGCAGCTGACCCTGGACACTGAATCACCCGGGTGAACTCACTGTTCAGATTTTTTGAGGCCCTGGTGACCGACAGTCCAAACTCCAATAGGAGCACCTGGGCTGAGGGGCCGTGGGCTCTGGATGGAGACAGACCGAACTGCGGAGGTGTGCTGGTTTCAGCATCTCCCCCTCCTCACATCCCTGCCACAACTCATCCCATCTCCTGGAGCGAAAGGGCGCCCCGGGCAGGTGTGACTTCCACCACCACCACCACCACCCCCTCCGGCTCCCTCTCTGCCCTATCACCACTTCCCCTCTATCACCACTTCCCTTCTATCACCACTTCCCCTCGTCTGCCATTATCAAGGGAAGCGCTTGATAAGCTCACCAGGTCAGGGCACCTGGACACAATAATGAGTGGCTCCCCTTCCCCTCCCAGCGCCATTTGCATCTTCAGAACAACGCCCCAAACCTTAGCGTTGAATAAGGTCAGGCCGCCTGGGTTGGGTTCCTAGCAGAACTACCAGCAGGATGACCTTCCCCAAGGAAATGAGTTTCTCGGAAAAGTCCGTTTCTCTGTCTGTTACAGAGAAAAATCACACCCACTTCCCATGCCTGTTGTGGTGGTTGACAGGACAGATATCCTAGCACAGTGGCCAGCAGGGGAGAGCACGGGAGTTTGTCTCCGTTTCCTCTCTCATTCCCTCCTCTTCTTCCCAGAGGAATTAATTACTTTCTAACATTTTCTGATGATAAAATTTTGGAATCACTGGCTGGCCAGTGCCACTTGGCTCCTTTGAGAGCCACCCCCCGCCCCCCCGCTACCCGGGCCTCGGTGAAGGATGAGCAGACATAAACACAGCCCAGACCAGGATACTTACAACTTCCTCACCAACAACATGGCCCTGGTGCTCCTGGAGGGCGGGCTCTGAGGGCTCCACTCACAGATGACGTTGCTGATGGGGCTCTTCCGGAAGCAGGAGAGCTGGGGCTCCTCCGGGGGACCTGGAAGCCAGCACACCGGGCCGAGGTGAGCTCTCCTCCCTCCCCTTCTCGGGGAGCCCCTGGCTTAGCCATCCTCACCACGCCCCCACCCCAGCTCTGGCGCCGGCTGGGACCCAAACAGCCACATACACAATAATGGCTGGGAACTTAAAGGGCCTCACAGTGACAAAGGGAGACGCCCAGGGCTACCCTGTCTAAAGGGGAGAGAGAACAGTCCCCAACATGGGGGCTTTGGAGTCACACAGGCCTGCTCTTTTCCGTTTCCTCCTCTAAAATTAGATGATGCTAAGTAACAGCAACACTGCTTTCCCGCACAGGGTCCCGGGGACATGTGACAGGGGAGACGGTGCCTCCGCACAGGGCCTGGCGCACGGGGCACCCGGCTCCAATGCATCTTAGACGTGAGGGAGCTGAGAACCTGCTGATTCTCAAACCAAAGCTGGTTGGTCTGAGAGTGTCCAACATCCTATGTCCACGTGTGCGCACACTCACACTCTCCATGTAATCTCTGCACTGACTCTGAGGAAAGGTAATACAGTGGGGCCTTGACTTACCAGTGTCCCGACTAAGGAGTTTTTTGAGATACCAGCTGTCTCTCGGCCGATTTTTTGCATTGAGTTGACAGAGTAATTTGAGTTAACGAGCTCCTTAACGAGCTCGGTCTCAGAAGGAATTAAACTCGTAAGTCAAGGCCCCACTGTAACATTAATTTACTTTACCAAAGAGGAGACTGAGGAGCAGAGACGTTAAGCTGCAAAGGAGGATGCACACCCAGGCCCCCTGGCTCCCACCTCTGGCCTTAACTGCACATCAAGGGCAGCGGGACGGGGTCCCCACCAGCCAGGTGCACCCACCCGGCGGGAATTCCCGCTGGTCTCGCTGGCAGACGTTGGCGGGCCTGTCCCCAGGATCCATGGGCCAAGGGAAAAACAGGAGCCTGGGATGCAGAGCTGCTGCTCAGGGAGCCATCCCAGCCCCGAGAGCTCTGCGGACACAACTCACCCTCCACCAGCAGGCGCACGCTTCCAGCCGGGAGGCCATCCCGGTAGCACGAATAGTTCCCGGAGTCGTTGAGCTGCACGGACCTCAGGAGCAGCCTCCTCCCCCAACCAGCCCAGCTGTCGTGGCTCGAGTCTGTCACCGGGTTCCCGAGCACCCAGTGAACCGTGGCATTGCCTCCCGGTTTCCCGCCGGGGCAGGTCAGGGTGACGTTGGCGCCGGGCCTGCTGGCCAGCACATCGCTCTCCACCTCTGGGGAGAGAGAAGACGCGCAGTAAGTCCACGGCAAACGGAGCAACTTCCTTCCTGATTTGGGGAAGCCCGAGAGGCTTCAATACTAAACATCTCCCAAGCCCACCCCGTGGTCCAGGCCTCCGCCTGGGTGATGGCAGCAGCCTCCCCGTGGCCCCAGGCCCCAGCCTTGGCCCTCTCCACCCAGCTGCCCAAGGGAGCCCCTGGAGCCTCGATCCGGCCTCCCCACACTTTTGCTTAGAAAACCCTTTGAGGCTCTGCCACTGTTTACGGCCTAGTGTCCAAAATTAAAGGAACGAGTAAATTTTTTTTAGTTAGTACAGATTATATATTCGTGCTCTAAGATATAAATTAGTCCAGCCACTTTGGACTAATTTTTGTTGTTGTTGATCCTCACCCGAGGATATTTTTTCCATTGATCTCTAGAGAAAGTAGGAGGGAGGGAGGGAGGGAGAGAGAGAGAAAAACATCGATGGGAAAGACACATCGATTTGTTGCCTCTCACAGGCTCCCCGATCAGCCCTACGGGACCGGACCACACCTGCAGCCCAAACACGTGCCCTTGACCTGGAATCAAACTCTTTGGTGTGTGGGCCGACACTCTATCACTGAGCCACACCAGCCAGAGCCCACCTTGGACTAATTTATTAACCCATCTCTTAAATGAGTCCAAGGAGCTGAGGGCACTGGGGCCAGGGGAGATCGCCAGTTTCACATGAAGCACACTTAGTCCTTCAAACCAAATGTCCAACCACTCATTAGCAAGCAGCAGCAATACATCTGGCCCAAGATTTTGTAGGGGCCCAGCAGCTGCCCAAGCATCCGACCTCACCCCCCCACCCCTGCTCTCGCGCCTGGAGGAGGAGCACCAGTCTCTCTCAGACCTGCAGAGCCTTCTCGCTGGGGAGAGGGTTTTAACCTCACACCTGGCAGACTGTCCTTCCTCCCACCCCATCCGAGGGGGCTGTCAGCAAGGAGGGCCTAAGGCTCTGTGACTCCCAGAGGTTGACAATCCCAAAGCCAGGGCTGGTTGTGCAAACTGACCACTGGCCACAGCCCAGGGACCAGGGACAGGGGCATCAAAGGGACAGAGATGGCATCTCCTGGGGCTGGGCCCTGCCTGGTGACACAGGCTGCCTTCCAGCTGCCTTCTCACTTCACCACTGGGAGCGGAGTCCTCTGCCCCGAGGCTGCAGTAATGAGTAGCGCAATCACTGTTCCTGAGCACCCGCTCCACGTCTGCACCCTCCAGCCTCCCCCCACACAGTGTTCCGTCCTGGGGTTCGTCTCCCTGGCTTTTTTTTTAAATCCTCACCCGAGGACATTTCCCCTTGATTTTCAGACAGAGTGGAAGGGAAGTGGGAGGGGGAGAAACATCGACATGAGAAAGAGGTATCAATGGGTTGCTTACCGCACACACACCCTGACCTGGGCCGGAGACCGAACCGCAAACCGAGGTCCATTTGATTCCTTGACTGGGAATCAAACCCGAGACCCTTAGGTCAGTGGGCTGACACTCTAACCGCTGAGCCCAACTGGCCAGGGCATCCCTCCCTGACTTCGAAAAACAATAGGCTCACTACTCATGCGATGTATTTTTATCATTCATTGTGTTTCTGTGATTTATTTACATGTAGCTCCAGTGTGTTTTTTTCACCGCTGTGTAATATTCCATTGTGCAGCCCTAACCGGTTTGGCTCACTGGATAGAACGTCGGCCTGCAGACTCAAGGGTCCCAGTTTCAATTCCGGTCAAGGGCATGTACCTTGGTTGCGGGCATACCCCCAGTAGGGGGTATGCAGGAGGCAGCTGATGGATGTTTCTCTCTCATGGATGTTTCTAACTCTCTATCCCTCTCCCTGCCTCTCTTTTAAAAAAAGCAATAAAATATATTTTTTTAAAAATTCCATTGTGCAGCTACAGTAGATCATCTCCCATTGATGGAGGTTTGAGTCATCTCTCAAAGAGTGTGGCTATCAACTTTCTCACATGTGGCTTTTGGTGCATTTTTCTGAGTTTCCCTGAGTAGAATCGCTGGTCCTAGTGTGTGTGTGTCACACGTGTCCTTTTCCTTCATAACAGAATACACAGTCCAATGGAGTCAAGTCCAAAAAGCGCCTGGTGGGGATACAGCTCGCCGCTTCCAGTCCACATACTGATTTCCACCTGTGCCTGAATGAGGTTACGTTAGGGGACATACCAACACTTCTGATCACTACATTGATATTTTCACTTTTCCATTTTCCACTTCATAAAGCAGCTGTCAGGATTAAACCCCACAGGGACACTGAGCTCATGCACGAATTACCATCTCTGCAGGAACAGAGATGGAGACGCTCCTGTCTGCTGGTGGGAGGCCCCGCGGTGGGGTGCATGCCACATCCCTCCACCAGCTGATGAGCAGACATCAGAACTCACAGACAGCCGGAAGCACCGATACAAAACACGGGGCAGGTGGCATGAAGTTCCAAGTAGGGGCCGAGGACCACAGGCGGCTCATCCTCGCACTGGCACTTTTCACATGGCACGGTCCCGGGCTATACACAGCACCCCACCCCCAACCATAACTACGAGACCGTGAGCTCCTGCTTGCACTCATCAGAGAGTTCAGTGGGTGCTTAATAAATGCTCATTTCATGTAGGGCACCTACATGGTCTCCACCTGGACAGGGCCTCCACATTAAAAACAGCTGACACATTGCCCTGGCCGGTTTGGCTCAGTGGATAGAGCGTCAGCCTGCAAACCGAAGGGTCCCGGGTTCGATTCCGGTCAAGGACACGTGCCTGGGTTGCAGGAGGCAGCCAATCAATGATTCCTTCTCATCATGGATGTTTCTATCTCTCTCTTGCTCTCCCTTCCTCTCTGAAATCAATAAAAATATATTTTAAAAAAAACAGCTGACACAGTGGTCTAGAGGTGCCCCCTCTGGTGGTACAATGGACAGGCCCTCCACTGAGACCAGACCAGCTCGCCCCAACGAGGAGACGCTGGGGAAAGCGCTCCCCGTGAGTCCAGCGCCCACGGGAGCTCTTTCCTGCGCCTGCTTTGCCAGCTCCAGGAAATGTGTGTCCCTGCTCACTTCCCTTACCCAGTCCAGATGGAAGCTCTTGCCATGTTTGGTGACCCTCCGAACAATAGCAGGGGCTGTTCTGTTCCTGCGCTCGCGAACAATGGCCAGACTATTTGGGCAACTCGGAGCAATAGCAAATAAAAAGCCTATTTTCCTCTTCCACAAAAGCAGAGCTGCGGGAGAAACATAATGGCCACTTCCTCTGCCAGGGAGCTTGAGTAACAGTGTTCTTTAAAACTGAGTCACCTTTTTTTTTTTTTTAATGGGAGATGATTAATTATAAACCAGCCATTGGCAAGTGTCGCCTGTCCCGGCCCTTCTTCCTGACGGATCTCTTCTCGAGCCTGAGCAGCACCGCGCTACCGTGGCGTTTTGAGGCGCTGGATACAGGACGGTCACAAAAACTCAGAGGAGAGACCACAAGGCGACAAATGTGCC